TGTCATTCATTTCACTTGTATATGTGCATATATGAGCACATATACATATATACACACATATGTACGTTTTATATGTACACACATAAGCATACATAATCAAAAACGTTATTGTAATTATTTTGAATAAATTGCTAGCTGTTAGAAGAATTATGAAAAATCAGTTTTTATTTGGTCTTCACTTATTCATTCTCTGATATTCTTCTTTATGTAGATATGTGTTTGACCTATATCATTTCCCTTCTCTCTGAAGAATTTAACATTTCTTGCAAGGTAGGTCTACTGGCAAGAAAGTCCCACAATTTTTGTTTGTCTGAGAGTGTTTTTATTTCTCCTTCACTTCTGAAGTATATTTCAAAGGGTACAGAGTTCTAGGATAATAGGGTTTGGTTGTTGGTTTTTTTTTTTTTCTCAACACTTTATTTCATTCCATTCTCTTTTTGCTTCTGTGATTTCTGGGGACAAGTTGGTTGTGACTCTTACCTTTGTTGCTCTATAGATAAGGGTTTTTTCCTTCCAGCTTCTTGCAAGATTTTTGATTTTCTGAAGTTTCAGTACCAATCTGTAGTGGTTTTGCTGGCATTTATCCTGCTTGGTGTTCTCTGAGCTTCCTGGATCTGTGGTTTGGTGTCTGACATTTAATCTGGGGAAATTCTCAGTCATTGTTGTTACACATAGTTTTTCTGTTCCTTTCTCTCTTTTCCTTCTATTTCCATTATGTGTATGTTATACCTTTTATAATTGTCCTACATTTTTTGGATATTCTGTACTATTTTTTGTAATTCGTCGTTCTCTTTGCTTTCCAGTTTTGGAAGTTCCCATTGTCATCAAGTTCAGAGATTATTTCCTCTGCTGTATCTATTCTCCTAATGGGCCCATCAAATGTCTTTATTGATCTCTGGTATTTCTTTATGATACTTTCTTAGAATTTCCATCTCTCTACTTCGTGTTCTTACATGTCCTTTTTTTGCATGTTGTCTACATTTACCATCAAGGCTCTTAGCATATTAATCACAGTGTTTTCAAATTACTGTTGTGATAATTCCAACATTCCTACCATATCTGACTCTGGTTCTAATGATTGTCATGCCTCTTCAAACAGTATTTTTTGCCTTTTAGTATGCCTTGTAATTTTTGGTTGAAAGGTGGATGTGATGTACCAGGAATTGAAGTATGTAGGTCTTTAGTGTTGTGGTGGTAACATGTGGAGGAGGAGAGGGCAGCATTTGAAAATTCTGTGATTAGGTCTCCCTTTTTTCATGAGTCTGTGTGCCTGGACTGTGAAGTTCACCGGTACTTCTCAGTATTCCCCACCACCACCCCTTAGGTGGTACAGTATGGTTAGATGGGGCTGGAGTTGGGTGTTTCCCTTCCCTCAAGTTGGTCAGGCTCTGATAAAACCTCAGCAGGTTAAGTTTTGATAAAATAGTTTCTCCTGGGGGTGGGGGGTGGGAGTGGTTGTTGAGAAGACAGAATCCTCTAGCATATTTCAAAATGGTTTCTTTTCCTTTTTCCCCTGCTGGAAGGTTGAGGGGATTTTCCTCCAGTATTGACTGTGAGGACCTGTGAGGTAAAACTCACAAAAGTGTGAGCAATGCTCCCCCCATCCTGTCCTGCCCCATCACTGGTTCCTCCTGTAGTTTTTAAGTCTCAGACTTGTTCACACTGAGCCTCCATCATCAGTTCATCAATTACAGTTCAGATTTTCCTGCCCTGGAACTGGTTCTCATGGAGATGTCTGTTCATGGATTTCTGCTCTGGTAAGTTGTGGTTTTCTGTGTTCACCTGTGTGTCTCTCCAATTTGGGGGGCAGCAGTTCGCCTTGTGACCTCACATCTCTGACAGATCTTAGAAGAGACTGTTGATTTTTCAGTTTGCTTAGATTTTTCCTTGTTGGGAAGGAATGCTGACTTCTAAGCACTTTACGTGTTGGACTGGAAACAGAGTCCTGAATCACCCACTTTTTTAAAAAATTAAAATAGCTGACATCTTAGCTCAGGGTCACACAAAAAAATCTACATCAAAGTTTGACATGATAACATTTTATTGGGGGTAGTGTGGGGTGGCTGCATTCCCAGGGAAGCAAGAATGAGAGTCAAAGGGAATTGAGGCAGAAAAAGGAGAGAAAATTCAAAGGGATGAGTTACTGAGATGGCCAAAACTTCACAACACCATGAACGAGATGCCTAGATTTGCAAGATGTCTCCAGAGAAGCCATATGGAAAGACTGCATCTCAGAGCAGTCCATTGTAGAGAAGGAAGGGTGCAAATTTTATCTCCTGTTGTCCTTCCTACCTAATTTCTTTCAGTGCTGAAATCCACCCTATGAGGCATTAACTTCCTATGTGTCCAGGTTGTATTATGCAGACCTCCAGGCAGCCACTGGGGCAACAAGAGCCTCTGGCCTGCAATAGGACAGTCTCCACGTGCCATTTGGGGCTATGTGTGGGGACGGTCAGTGTACGATGACAGTGGCAGTGGCTGGGACTTAACCACTGTAGGGATATTTTGAATAGCTAGAAGACTTGCAGATGGTTGATGCCTGGGTGGAATGAGCGGCAGGGATGAGTGCATCCTGGGTGATACATAAGCTGGGTCTCCTATACTATATCCCTTGAATCAATCAGATTTACTTGCATCCTGTTATAATATCCTAGATCTTGTATGAGAACAAGATATACTTCCTGTACTTCATTAAGAAGGAAGATGCAAGGCCAGTCCTTCCAAGTATCAGTCAGTTTCCATTTCTCAGCAAGACTTAAAGAGGATTAACAAACCAAGCTACAATTGTCACTGCTGCAGCTGGTCCCAGGCTCATAGCTGATATTCATCAGTTACCTCGTTTGTCACCCATTGTAGTTTCTCTCACCTTCAGTCAGCATTTTAGCTGCTGTAGGTTGCTTGCCTGGTAGGTTGACACAGTCCTTCATCCCTGATAGATTTGAACCCTCAGTTGTTTTCCTTTGTCAGGCAATAGTTGCTTTGAGTGTCCATTTACAACTATTCATGGCCAGAGAATCACCAAGAGGTGCCTCAGTGAGTCCTACAATCCAGATGTACTTGTTTTTGCCCCCATTGTGTAGCAACAACCCCACCTTCTCATGACAATCAGGGTCAACTAAACCAGTCAGTAGAGTAGTTCTTTTCTTGCTTATCCACTGGCATGAGGAGTTCAAAGCAGTTCAATTTCCAGTTCAGTGAAACTTAATGTTGTTTCTAGGAAGCAATGCTCCCTTGGAAATCAGGATCTCTAACGCAGCAGGTATAAGCCTGTAGGAACAGATAACATGAATTCTGCAATTGGGTCCTTAAAAGCGGTAGAAGATAGGCTGATTCTTGGTTCCTAGAGCCCCTGCTTTTGTTTTTTTGTTGTTGTTTTATTAGGGGGGAGGGACTGGTTCTTTATTTCAAAAAGACATTTATCAATTTTCAGTATCAAAACAGTTACACTATTGGTTTTTCTTTCTCCCAACTGACCCCCAAAGAGACCACACCAAAGGAGAGTACATTTTAAGCTAATTAAGCTGTAGGATGCACACCTAACAAACCTCACTGAAACCTCACCAAAAAGGGGGGATTGGGTGAGGAAAGAAACTTTAAAAGATCAGCACACTGCCAGCCCACAGACTAGAGAGCTCTCACAGCCAGGTGAGGTGACCAGTGTGCCCCAACCCCAAAGAAGCAAAGTTTCAAAATAGTATAAATCTTAAAAACAGCTTTGTACACAAGCTACTTAAGATTTCTCCAGCGCTAACTGATACAAAGCACAATGAGATGGCACTGTTAGAGACAGCAGCTTCAGACCCAGGAAAGGGTGCTGAGATGAGTTTCAGATGGCAATCAGTGGCAAAACATAATTTTCTTTCTTTCAAGGAAGCAGGAGAGCAAATAGGTGGTCACCTCAACATAAAGGGCACATGATCCATTCTGTGAGCGGTTGGGAATGGGGTAGAGCTAGGACAAGGATTTGGTCTCAGAAGTCTTGCCATTTTTAAAATTAATTAATGTATGCATGTATGTATGTATGGCTGCGTTGGGTCTTCGTTGCTGCACGCGGGCTTTCTCTAGTTGCGGCGAGCGAGGGTTACTCTTCATTGCGGCGCGCGGGCTTCTCATTGCGGTGGCTTCTCTTGTTGCGGAGCATGGGCTCTAGGCGCACGGGCTTCAGTAGTTGTAGCTCGTGGGCTCTGGAGCACAGGCTCAGTAGTCATGGCGCACTGGCTTAGTTGCTCCATGGCGTGTGTGATCTTCCTGGACCAGGGCTCGAACCCGTGTCCCCTGCATTGGCAGGCGGATTCTTAACCACTGCGCCATCAGGGAAGTCCTTGCCATCTTAATTTTGTTTGGTCACTTCTGATGAAAAAAAAAAAAATTTGCCCAAAGATACCATTTTCAGCTGAAAACCTGAACAGTACTTTTTTTTTTGCTGACTCCTCCTGGAATCACCTCTCTGGTTTGGTGGGTACTTTTTACAGAGCAACGAGGTTTCCCAAAATGGAGCCTTTCTCTGGGCTGTTTGGTTCTCAGGAAGGCAGGCCCATACCTTTTCCCCTCCTCTGTGGAGAAGGCAATATGCATTAAGCTGAAAAGTTACCTTCCAAAAGTGAGGCAGGGATTAGACTGCTGCTTCAGAACTATGGAATTATCTGGAATGTTTTACAAATGGCTGCTACATCAACAACAAAAAAGGTAATTATAAAATATGTACATCACAGCATGCTTTTAAAGACACTTTGCTCACATTCCCTTAAACAGTTGTTCCCAAAAGTGCTCAGCCTCTAGTCCAACTGGAATCTCTGGAGAGATTCAGATTCAGAGACAGTTTGGTGAAAAGGACACAGGGAGGGGGTGGGAGACGTGATGAAAGGAGAAAGCAGCCTTCCAGTTAGAGATCAGCCATCAGTTTCAAGGTCAGCTTCGGGCAGGCTGGCCTCAGCGGAGTCGGGGTCAGAGGGAGGGGCAGCGCAGGGCGGGACTGGGGCGCTCTGCATCTCCTCCAGGTCAAGCAGAGTCTGGTGCAGCATCCTTTGTGTACAGAGGTGCTCCTCTTTGGTGCATTTCAGTTTATCTTCCAAATCTTCAACTGTCTTTTCCAGATTGGCTGCGATCTCTCAGCAAACTCAGCACGGGTCTCTGCCTCCTTGAGTTCGTCAGTAAGAATCTGTCTCTTCCTCACATTTGTCGTCTTTTTGAGAGTCCTTTTTCTCAGCAGCACTCAGACACTTCAGCTTCTGGCCCACCAGTCTGATCTGCTCATCCGTCTCTCGGCAACGGGACTCTGCCAGCTCAGCTCGCTCCTCTGTGCCTTCCAAGTCTCCCTCAATAATCACCAACCTGAGAGCCACCTCTTCATACTTCCTACCTGCCTCTTCTGCAATGTGCTTAGCTTCTTCGAGTTGGATTTCCTGGAGCTCCCTTTTTTCCTCCTCTTTTAAGGCTCGGTTTTCAGCGACCTTCATGGCTCTCTCGCTGTGATCAGCAGCTTTCTCGGCTTCCTCCAGCTTTTGCAGGGCAGTGGCCAGGCGCTGTTGAGCGCGGTCCCGCTCCTCTTCGACCAGCTGGATCCTACGGTTCAAGGAGGCCGCCTCAGCCTGTTCCCAGGCCGCCTTTCTCCCTCCACTTCCGCGGGAGGCGGTCGGCCCTTTCCTCCGCGTCACCGGCCTGCTGCTGCAGAACATGGGTCTCGCGCTTCACCGCCTCGATGGTGACCCCCGCCGTGGTGCCCACCCGACCCCTGCTCGCCTTCGGGTTCCTGCCTCCTCTGCCCGGAGTTGCAGCCGCTTCTCACCCCTACTTCCCCTGGAGCCCCTGCTATTGGATTCGTGTACAGGATCTGAACATGCCACCATGGCCACTTTGTTCATTAGCCCCTTGTGCAAGCAGTGAACTGAGCAAGGAGAGAAGCTGACTGACACCCAGAAAATAGGTCATTCTATCTACCTGGTTATTAGGAGTCTCTTTGTGGCATAATGTGGCAGTGATTCATTTCTATAGGACCCAATATAGCATACTACAAAACTGTCTTTGACTTGAGTTCAAGGTCCTTCTTTCTCCCTCAGTTGGAATAGGTGTGGACTGAGAGAGTTGCATCAATGCAGCAGAGGCAGGCGATATGGAGGTCTAGGCCAACAAGTCATATTTTTTTTGCATCTTCTGGAGTACTTGAGTCTCCCTAAATCTACCATTTCTTTCATGAAATAGTTTGCTCCTTTGCCTCTCAACCTTCTTCTGGGAGTTTCTGTTAACACTAAGCTCATGACGGGCAGCTCCAATTGCACAGTTACTTGGTGTACCATTGTCAGGCTCTCAGGTTTTACTTCAGAGTGTATGGCCCTTCATGTTCCAGACCACTGGACCCCTAAAAATTTCACTGATGTTGCAGACCCCTTGCTCATCAAGGACTTACTGCCTACCCTCTGACACATATGTGTTTTAATAGGGCATTTGAATTACTTGACCTGTTCTCCTTATTAGGTCCAATTAGTAAAATGTCAATCAGTGTAGAAGGCTAGCATGATGCACGGTGGAACAGCAAGATGATGGAGATCGCTATAGAATAGACCATGACAGACAGCAGAAAATTAACACAGACCTAGAGCAAGATAGTGAAGACTTCCTGCTGTCCTTGAAACGTGAAGATGAGCTGCTTTTGATCCTCTCTATTGATGAGAATCAGGAATAAAGCATTTAGCAAAACAGTAGTCACAAATGAAGTGCCAGAGATTGAGTTGATCTGCTCCCATAAAATTCATATCTAGCACAGAAACTATAATTGGGGATACTATTTTAAGTTTATAGTAGTCCCCTGGCACCCACCATGATCCACATGATTTTTTTGCAGAGGCCAGGTAGGTGAAATAACTAGGTATATTATGGGAATCACCATCCCTGAATCTTTTAAGCCTTTTTTGGTACTAATTTCTGCAATTTGTCTGGCAGGTGATATTGCTTCTGATGTACTGCCCTGGCTTGGAGGGAAGGTGCCCTGCAACTTTTTTAATCATAATGTTCCTTAATTCATAGGTCAGGAAACCAAGGGCAAACTTCTAAGTATATCTATCCCATTAGGCATTCAGAGACTAGAGATACAGAAACAGAGTGGGTCCTTGGATCTATTGGATCCATTGTGAGATGCACTTGAACCCAAACACCATTTACAATCTGGTATCTATAAGGCTCCCTCTTAACTGCAGGACCATGGTGGTGTTTGGGGTTCTCTAATATTGTTGTCAGCTGTGATCTCATTTTAACTATCCTCAAGATGTCTGGGGACTTCCCTGGCGGTCCAGTGGTTAAGACTCTGCACTTCCACTGCAGAGGGCACAGGTTTGATCCCTGGTTGAGGAACTAAGATCCCACATGCCTCGTGGTGCAGCAAAAAAAAAAAAATCTGGGTATTCCCTTTTCTTCAGCACACAATTACTCTGGCTTTGAGGAGAGGTTAGAGAGATACTTGCCATGCTGTGGTGGCATTGTGGGGACCCAATATTCCCTTTAATCAATGGGCTCTGACTCTGTGAACTGGCTTGGATCTAGTAACTGGAAATTTCAGTTTTCCATCAGTGTCTGACATCAGCTTTATGATCATCAGTTTTGAATTCCTTTTGGTTGTACAAATCAAACAAAAGCCTAGTCAATGGTCTTTAAACTTTAGTTAAAAGATAGATTGTTGGGCCACATCCCCAGAATTTTTATATTAGTAGGTCTGGAGTGGGGTTTGAGAATTTTCGTTTCAAAGAAGTTCCTAGGTGATGCTAAAGCTGTTGATCTTAGGACAACACTTTGACAACCAATGCTCTTAGATGGTGGTTTGTCTATGTTACCTTTGGGAAAACCATCATCAATTTGAGGTAATAATCACTTTGGGCCAAGGCACTTTGATTGCCATTCTGACCATACTACTCAGTTTAGTAATTATATCTCCCCTGGCTTCTGCCTTTCCAGAATCCCAATATCTCCATTGATATAAAGTCCAGTGCTATGCCAGGATCTTCCACTGCCAACCCTGGCCTGAAGAAGACAACCAACAGTGAGTTTCTCAGTGATGTTGGGTCTCCCATCATGGGTACATTTCTTAGCGAGGGGAGTGTCCCCTCCTGGAGAATACACTCAGGTAGTGGGTTTGCATGTCTTCATTCTAATATTCTCTTTTTCCTGAGCCTTCTCACCCCTTTCTCATTACTCTGCCAATTAAGTTCCAACAAATCCACCTCAACCAACTGAGCCATTGTGAATCCAGGCTTTATGGAGTCATCCCAGCTAACTATTAGGACTGGTAAACACTGAATTTTATTAGGACAGTATTAAGACTTGCTAGACACTAAATTCCAACTTATGGATGAGTTGCCCATTTCAACAAATTTCTCCTGCTTAGTTTAAAATTCCATTTCCACTTGAGGGTCCAACACCCTCAAGATCTACCCCCACAGATGTTCCTCTGGCTCTTGCTTGATGTGTTCATGATCTGGACTTACTACCTGCCTTAAAGCCATCTATGGCTTTCACAGAATGCCTTAAAATGATAGTTTGCTGCCCCGAACCTATCAAGGGTTTCAGTGCCATCGTAAGTAGCTGACCGCTGCAAAAGTACTATAATTATCATTACCCCCATTGAATCAGTTGCAGTGGCGAATTGATATCCCTAAGCTTACCCTAAGTAGGGTAAGAAACTACAAGGAGGAGTATTGGCAAGCAGGCTATGACTTCAGAATAAATATGGCTGGTTGCCCAGCCTTGTGGGACATTTCCAGAGAGGCCAAATAAAATGACTGCATTTCAGAACAATCCATTAGGGGAAGGAAAGACAGGTAAATATCTGCTGACTCCTTTCTATCTCGTGCCTTTCATTGTTGAATTCTGCCTCCTTACGATGTTAACTTTCTCACTTTCCAGCTATGTTATGCAGCCTTTCCCAGCTCCCCAGAGGAAGCCAGAGCCTCTGTGGATCCCATCTGGCAAGTGTTCAGATGTTCAGATGTGATGATCTCTCCTTGTCAGCTGGAGCTGTGCATGGAAACTTCCTAGTCTGTGGTAGTAGCAGTGGCTATAGTAGTGGGGATGTAAAACTGTGGATCAGGTGTGATCCATTGCTGGGGCTGGAACACAAGGAAGACAACCATGGTAGGGGTGTTGGCAGGGCCGAAAAGAGATGGTGTATAAATTGTTTTCTGCTCAGCCAGTTAGTATATTTGTCAGGCCATTTGAACACCTATCAAAGGTCTACTGATAAGCAATTTCAATACTGAGGCCTAGAAAGAAAAAAGGATTTAGCCAAATTCCTTGAACTTATGAAGTTTACAAAATATTTTGTGAAACATACATATAAATAGATAATGTAAGATAATGTGCTAAATGTAGTGCTACATGCAAACATGGGATAAGCAAGGAGCACAGAAAGGGGCAGCTAGTTCAGTTTGGGGGGACCAGTCAGAGAAAATTTCTCTGAGGCAGGACCAGCTTCATGGGCATACAACCAGTATCTCAGGGCCTCACGCTCAGAAGTGCTCATGCTTGGGGTTTAATGCTGTGGTCCCCTTTCGAAATTCTTAATATTGTAGCTTTATCCTTGAAATGTGTGTTTTGTAGGTGCAGTTCAGTGGGACAATGGGCATGTACCCGGGGCTTGGAGCCCCAGCTCAGTGCAGTCCCACCTTCCTCTGCTTCCCGGTCTCCACAGGAGGGGTTCTCAGCAGCCCATCCTCAGCCACTGGAGCCATGGGGCAGTGAACCTTGCCGGGGGAGCCCGCGTACTGCCATCACCCTCCATCCCAGGCAGAGACCAGGCACAGGAGCAAGGAGGGTCAAGGTCAGGCTTGTGCCCCGCAGTGTCTTGGGGTGGGGCAAGGTGGCAGTTGTCCCTACCCTGCGCTGGCAGTTCCACGGGCTCATTGTCTAGGCAACTCATGAGGGCCTCTCTCTCACCCTCAGTTCAGGTGCCAAGAGTGTCCTGTGCAGAGGCTACAATCCCTTGGCTTGGGATGACCAAGCTTGTGACAAGTAGATTGATTTCATCCACATTTTCATTTTGCATGGGGCCCAGAAGATTATGTGATCAGCCCTGCCTGGAGGTGATGATGCTAGAACTGATTCTTGAAGGATAAATAGGAATTTTCCTGGTGAAAGGGATGAGGAAGGGGCTGAAAGAGTCTCCTAAAAAGGGGGAATAACATAAACAAGTATGAGCATAAAATTATACCACACATAAATATTATATAAAGCATGAAATGCTTTTTTTTTTTTTTTTCCTCTGTTTTGAACACCTTGGTGGATGGTGTTCCATTTCCTGAGATGGGGAGGAGAAGGTATGGGTAGGTCAGGGGAGAGTTCCATTTTGGCCATGTTAATTTGAGTTTTCTATTAGACATCTATTTGGAGAAGTCATGGTGACAAGTGTCTGGAGTGCGAGGCAGAGGTCAGGGCTGGATATAAGTTTGGGAATCTCTGGCACAGGTGGCTGAAACCATGGGATCAGGTGAGGTTGCCCAGGTAGAGAATGTAGATAGAGCAGAGAAGTGGACCTGGGACACCCTTATTTTAGATGATGAGCGGAAGAGGAGGACCCCGAAAAGGAGATTAGGAGCATCCAGTACAGAAGGGAGACACTTGGGAGAGTGTCATTGAAGAGGATGGTGAAAGTGTTTTAAGAAGGAGGTCTGCACCTAATTTGAAAGCTTGAGGT